TGGTGGTGGTGGAGGGGATCCCCATTACCTGTAAAGCGCTTTGAGTGGAGTGTCCAGAAAAGCGCTATATAAGTGTAAGCAATTATTATTATTAAAGAACCAGGGTGTTAATCACAGTACTATCAGAGGCAAAAGACACCTAGCCGCTAGCTTTTCTGTGTAAGAATGGCTCTGGGGTGATCCACACGGTGTATGTGCGCGCAACAGTTGCATAAAATTGTATTGCAGAGCCATTCATCCCCCTTAAATTTTAAGATCGAAATCAAAATTGCGACGGCAAAAGCGAAACTACAACTCCCAGAACGTCCTGCGGCAAACCTCAGGTTCAAAGGTCACCGACACAACAAGGAAGTTACTGAAATTTTGGGACGACAATAATCTGAAAGCCGTATGGATATGTACAGTTTAAACGTCGCCAGTGGTTCCATAGCTCACTGTGTTCTTCTGAATAGTTATTACTTTCATGGTGTACTATAGGCTTATTTATCAGTAGTAGCACCGCTTACTTTATTAAGCGTCCAGATCACCTTCATTCATTCATCAGCAGTGGAGCGCACGCAGAGGAACTGCAGGTCTGCTCCGTTTGTGCAAAATCCAATAAGAGGTGCTATAGCAGTATATATATATTTAATCTTGTGTAGCCGACATTGTTCAGTTAGAGTTTTAATATGCGTTTATCTAATACATGTCTGTATGCGCGTCTTGATTCAGTCTTCAGAACGTTTTTTAAATTATCTGTTTTGAATTCCTGCATTGAATCCGATATATAAAAGTTGGCGATTTTATATATTTTTTAAGATAATATTTATGCATTAATATATGTGTCCGTCATTCCAGGAAATAATGCTAAATGAACCTTAAATTATGTAATGTCTTCTTCCAGAGCTTCACCTTACAAACCTCTGTATAGGTTGAAACAAAACACATGAGCTTTTCTCTGTGTATCTTTCTGGTGTCTTTTTCTTCGTTTGGGGGCAGCGTGGTGGCCAGTGTCGTTGCCTCACAGCTGTTGGGTCCTGGATTCAATCCTGCCATGATGCTCCTTCTGTGTGGAGTCTGCATGTCCCCGAGTGGCCATGTGTTTTTTTTCTGGGGGCTCTGGGAAATAGGCATCAGCACTAATTATTTAAAAATGTGGCAGAGCAAGAAGATTTGAAAAATCCGCCTGTTGTGTGTCACGATGCAGGCGTAGTTGGCGTCTTCTTTGTCAAGTAATCCGGAGAGGCCACAGCTTCTCCTGTGTAGCATCTTCTTTCATGCAGGTGTCACTCATTTCCTCTGCAGACCCGCGCCATGAACGTGCTGGCGTTCTTCGCAGTGGGACTGGTGGTCCATGTTGTCTTCTTCGCCTCGATATTCGACATCTACTTCACCTCTCCTCTGGTCCACGGCATGACCCCTCACACAGCCCCCCTGCCGCCTCCGGCCAAGCGCCTCGTGCTGTTAGTCGCCGACGGCCTGAGAGCAGACGCCTTCTACAGACCCGAAGCCCACGGGACGAGCAGGGCTCCGTTCCTCAGGTACACCGCTTCCTTGAAGAACAGACTGGCTTCTTGTTCCCTCAAAATAATATAAACGACCTAACATTCAGTCAGAGGTGGCGTTTCATGACTTCTGCCAGTATTGGACTTTCAGAATATATTGCACTGCTGTATATGTGTGTATTATGTTCAAATAAATAAAAAAAAAGCATCGGGATGACTTTGTTTAGAATCCTGCGCGGTTTTGACTGCCATGTTTCAAATCCGACTTTGTTGCGTTGCTGCTCTGTAATCAGTTCAGCTACCTGGCAGTTAAGGGCAATGAGGCTTTAAAGTAAAATCTTACACTCACAGATCAAAGCAAGCAAACCTCCATCATCTAAAACAGCAGTTGAAGATGCCTGGTAGCAGTGTTACTTCGAGCCCTGCCTCAGCACTTTCAGTGTCTGTGTTGCCATTAAGAAAGTTGACTAGGTTGCCGCGTTTAATAGATAGATAGATAAGACTTTATTGATCCTGAAGGGAAAATGTTTTAATTGCTATCATTATTGTCGTTATTGTCACTCCTGTGATCCGTTATGTGTGGTTTTGGGGTACCAGTGTCACTGCAGGAATGAGGAAGGCTGCCCCGAAGGACCCAATGACTTTCACGTTTATGAAAGACAGGTGTGAACTCCAGCATGTCCTGAGTGACAGATGTTATTTTTCTTCTTATGATATCGAATTCTGAACTACTTAACCTTTTCTCAGCATTGACCTGCATCTCATCCGTATCCAGCTGCGGTCATTTTATCGTGTACTCTTAGGAAAGTAATGCTGTTTGTTTGGAGACGCAGCTCTCGCTGCACTGACTTGTTATTCTGCAGTCCAGTTCGCCGTCCCTTTCAGCATCTGGCCAGGGAGCTGATCAATTGGCCATTGTTGTGGGGCCTTTGACAAAGGTTCCTTCTGCTCACAGTCGCATTTGTGGTCTTACTTCCTGTCAGTCTGTGTTTTGTTTGACTGCAAATCACAAGAGCACAAGAAACAAAGAACATTTCCAAACGAGGAGAGGCTTTTTGGCCTCAGAAGCACGGGGTGGAAAGGGTGGAAAGCCTGGTCATTTCCAGTTGATGTAGGATGCCGTGGTTTTCCAGCCCAGACACTTTGAAGGATGTTCGGAGAGCTGGGCATGAGTGGCAGAGATAGAAAGTCAGCGGTGACAGATGATAGAGGCAGCAGAAAACGCCTCATGCTGGCTCTGGTACAGACGGGATGAACCATTATGGTCGCCACAGGCAAGCAGTATCTGATCATCACTGCTGTCCCCCTATCCTGAAGAAGTTCTGGGTTAAGGGACGAAACTTCTTGTGACGGATAGACCTAGCTGATGATGCCAAGGCAGACTGTTTTATCTTGTCTGTATATTTGATGCATTAAAACATTCACAGATGATAAACAGCTAGTTCAGCAGTGAGCAAGGAATGATGAAGAGAGTTGCTGGTTCACACAGCTTTGAAACCTTCTCTTGTTGGTGTCAAAATGAACCTGAGACGGGCTCTCATTTTGGAAGAAGAGACCCCAAGATACAATCGTCTTTATTCTCAGCAGTGTAACAAAAGGTGCATTTACACTGCCCTGGGGAAGAAAGTGCAGCCTGGTGCCGCCCTGCTGGCGATCTCTGTGGGTCACTGTGAGGAACAGTCAGGTCGGCATGGGAACAAACTGAAGCGTAATGGCCTTGGAAAGACAGAATGGCTCCCGTCTATCATACCTCACACAGTCACAAAGCAGTGCGTCGCTGTGAACAGTGTGCCAAAATGAAGAGATGAGATTCCTGAGAGGCTTCTATTTGCTTTTGTAAATGCCATTTTGTTCTTTTTTTTTTTTTTTCTGTCAGGGGTATCATTGAAGGAAAAGGCAGCTGGGGCGTGTCTCACACTCGTGTTCCTACGGAGTCCCGGCCAGGGCATGTTGCCTTGATCGCTGGCTTTTATGAAGATGTAAGTGCAGTTGCAAAAGGTGAGTGTTAGATTTCACCTGGGGACAGTTTACCAGCACCGGGACTCTCGGACATCTCCTCATTCTTCTTCCCAAAGAGTAAGACGCTGTCACTGTCAAGGGCACTAGGGGCATAAAGCACATTATAGGATTAAAGTCAGAACATCTGTGAGAATTCTGCATGAACTATACTCGCTTTTAATCGTGCTTTGGCTACAAGGTGTTGTAAAACACTCCCAAACTCCAGCTTTGGACCTAAGAATTAACTTGCATGGTGTCAACTTTTAACAACGATATTTTTTATAGCTGCCTTTAAAGCTGATAGTTCAGTATTGTTCTTCTTTAGCTCCCAGTTGTTATTTCTCTTTCAGGAATTGTGGTTGGATAAGCATAAGAAGATTCCTATTCCTGAATTTTTAGCCAAGAATAGGAAGGGCAATATGGCTTAGAAATGCAGTGCTATAATTGAATGATTTCTGGCTGCAATACACATTTGTTGCAAGTTTTTCTTTGAAATCCTTATTTCAGCACAAATTGGGTTATTTGGAAAGCCCTTACCTCTGGAAGTGTGACTGAGAGGTTCAAGCCGCCAAATAAAATCTGTTAATGTCACTTCAGAGAACTGAGTTTCTTGGGGATATATCCAACTTGGAAACTTGGGAAAAAAGCCTCAGCTGAGTCTATCGAAACGATAGCCGATTCCGTGTCGGCCTGGCTGATTGCACTTCGTGATTAGTAAGACAGCTTCTCTCTCCGTAAACAAGTCTCGAGAGGCAGAAGCATTTCCCCTTACTCTGTTGATCGGCACACTGTCGAAATCCGCCATCTCGGGAGTTTCCTCGTACCAGGGACCTTGACTCTCCCCACCTGCTTTTATAACATCAGGCTGGAAAGAGAATCCTGTGGAGTTTGACTCTGTGTTCAATGAAAGCCGGACGACGTGGAGCTGGGGGAGTCCTGACATTCTGCCCATGTTTGCTAAAGGTGAAGTATCGGGCCGATCCACGGCTGCTTTTCAGCTTCTTTACCAGTGACAAACTGTCTCTGTTAATGCTTCTGCCTCTGTGCCTCAGGGGCCACTGGAGATCATGTCCATACTTTCACATACCCAGCGGAGAAAGAGGACTTTGCAGCTAAAGATGCCTCAAAACTGGACACCTGGGTTTTTGATGAAGTGAAGGTACGGTATTGCGTGAGCGTTTGAGATTCCCGTTCTCTTTCTCTAAAGCAAGGCCGCATGCACACAGCTCTTCTTCCACTTCTCTCCCTCGCAGAGTGTGTGCTACAGCCAGGTACTTATTTGCATTGTATCGTTCAGTATTGCGTGTGTTTTGCGTTTAAACTCGTCTTACTTTAAGTCAACACTGCAGACAAATGTCCAACGTCTCGCATCCTTTCACTTCTTTCCTCTTAAAAAAGTCTTGCGTGAATCAAATAAAAATAACCTGATTTTCTGCAGTCTAAGAATGTATTGATTTGTTGGAATTCACAGTGGCAGTGTTTCCAGGTGCAGCTAAAGGATTCCTTCTCTGTGTGTAGGCCTTTTTCGAGTCTGCTAAAGAAAACAAAACCCTGCTGTCAAGATTACGTGAGGACAAAATTGTTTTTTTCCTACATTTGCTTGGTCTGGACACAAACGGACATGCCCACAGGCCCATGTCAAGGTGTGTGTTTATATTTCAGATTTATCTGTGCATTATGACCTCTGTGTAACTTATTGACTCTTTTTGCATTCCTCTGTATATGACTGATCATTGCAGCTGTATACCAAAATTAACCAGCCAAAAGATTGTCTTTTGTCGAAAGAAAAGCCTTCATTTTATCCCTGTGAGATGACATGTCCAAATGAAAGCTGACATCGTGGGTGAATTGTGCAGAACAACTTTTATTTTTTATTGTACATCCATCCACACGTTTCCTCACCACTATTTCCAGTTTAGGGTCAGGAGGGAGCTGGAGTCTGTCCCAGCGCAAGGCAGGATACACCCCGGACGGGACGCTGGTCCATCACGGGGTCACACTCACACTGACACCAATAGACACCCACTCACACCAGGAACCCTTTTACAAAAGCCAATTAACCTCCCAGTAGATCTTGTGTGGGAGGAAACCCACGCAAACATGGGAAGATCATGCTGTACAAACTCCTTGCAAATAGCATCCATGTGAGGAGTTGAACCCAGGGTTAGTAATGCTATCCACTGTGCCACCGTGCTTCTTGGAAGGATATTGATGAGGTTATTCTCCCCTTTACAGTATGGTTTAGAAGAGACCTGAACCATACTGTATATCATTGAAAGGTAGCTGGGATTAGGCAGGTAGTGACATTTCTCCTTGCCTTTTCTTACCTTTTTCAGAGACTATCAGGAGAACATCAGAGTTGTAGATGCTGGCATTGCAGAACTAGTTTCATGGTTTGAAGAGTTCTTTGAAAATGATGGAAAAACCTCTTTTGTGTTTACTTCTGACCATGGCATGACAGACTGGGGTAAGATCTCTTTTTTTTCTGCTGGTCGTCCGGATGAGCTTGCACGTTTTATGGGAATGTATGGAAAGCTACAGGTTTCTGGTATCTCGCAGCATTACTTTGAAATGCCAAGGCGTCTCCTTGCATTCTAGAGTTCTAAAAAAACAGAATAAGGTTTGGCAGGAGTTCCCTTCTGAAAGAGATTCTCTTAGAGGCTTTTTAAAACTCTTTAAAAAGGGGGGGTTCTGTATTGTTTGTCAGCAGTTTAAAAAGCCTTGTCTCAGTTTTGCCCTGCAGCTACAAGGAAACAATATTGAATACCACCACACCTACAAGACCTCAAGCATTTCATATTCCGTCAACACCTGCCGTGTTTTGGGTTTTATTTATAATGTAGAGCCTTGGTCATGGTTTCAGTAATGAGCTCACGTTTTTGACTCTCTGCGTTGCATTTTCAAATGGGTGCCAGTTCTTGCTCGGTTCAGTGCTCCGGATGGAAATGGACCTCTGTGTCCGAGCAGCTATGAGTTCATGGACTCCTGCCTTGATAACAGGGTCTCACGGAGCTGGCCACCCCTCGGAGACACTGACTCCTCTGCTGGCGTGGGGAGCAGGAATCAAGTCAGCACAGAGAGTAGCTGAACAGCACTTTGAGGACAATTTCCTGCAAGGTATTTTTTTTTCTACTAATTGGAACAGATACCCAGCTAATGCACACCATTACTTGTATTGGTTTAATTTCCCTTGTTGCTTTTGCAAGATTTTATGCGTCATTGATTTAAGTAACATCTCTCACGAGCTGCACTTTGAGCTGCTTCAGGCCTGGGAGACATCTGCTCCGGGATTGTCTGACTGAGAGCCAGAGCCGGTTCTCTCTCTGCGAGTCTCCACTGTCATCCTTCTCTCCTCTCCTCTCTCTTCCAGAGTGGAAGCTCGAGGGCGTCAGGAGGTTGGATGTCAACCAGGTAAATGTTTCGGAAGGCAGATCTGGGACTCGCCCTTTCCTGATTTAATCATCGATAGAATTGAACTGCCTTAAGTGGCTTCCCTGTCAGTTTGGTGCTTTACAATATCTCAAACACACACCCTTTCATTTGGGGTTTATTTTAGAAATGAAGGGAAGAAAGAGTGTTATGGCCCATCTTGCTTATTATCTTCTGTCTTAAAAGACCAACGTTTGAACAAGTGGTCATTTAAATACCGTCTAGAACAATGCGCAATGTTTCACCTTTACTGTTCTTCACATGGGCAGGCTGATATAGCTCCACTGATGTCTTCTTTGATTGGGGTGCCCATGCCTTTGAATTCCGTGGTGAGTTTTAGCCTCCTTCTCCCTTTTTGTTTTGTACGCTGTAGTGGGTAAATTAAAAGGGCAGATAGCTTTCTGTGTTGTACTCGTGCTATAATGCCACAATTGACTTTTTGCACAAGCACATCATACATTGCAGTTATCTTTTTTTAACAGATCTTAAAATAAAAAGCTCAGGCTCTTGACTTTCAGTGTAAAAGCTTCACCCAGAATCTTGTGTCTCGGGGTACTCTGCTGCTGCAGTATTTGTGCTTGAAGTGGTGTGTGATCTGTGATCTCTTGTGTCTCAGGGTACTCTGCTGCTGCAGTATTTGTGCTTGAAGTGGTGTGTGATCTGTGTTATCTTGTGTCTCAGGGTACTCTACCACTGGAGTATTTGAACAACGGTGACCACTTCAGAGCAGAATGTCTGTATGCAAATGCCCTTCAGATTCTGGAGCAGTTCAAGGTATGAATGACAGAATACTTGTTATGTCTGTATTATACAAAAACCAAAATACCTGATTTTCTGCTGCCTGTGTGGTTCAATCTTTAATAAATAAGACAATTCCAACCTGCATGGTTTAATATGAAACAAAACTTCAAATGCAAGTATCGGGGAATTCCAGGATTGTGAAACCTCTCATTTAATATTGGAAAAATGCACACTCAAAATGTACTTTGACTCAAAATAAATTTGGTCATGTCTTTTTCTTGCTTATAGTTTACTGCACTTTTGGCCTTCAACAGAGAGTGAAGTCAACCCAGTGATAATAGCTCATTCGTGATTCTGAGTTTATTCTGGTCAAGTAAATTGAAAATAAAAGTTGAAATAAAATAAAAATAAAAGTGTTTTAATTTGTAAATGTTTAAAACCTAGCAGTAGAGTTAAACCTTTGATTGTTCTTTGTAGCTTTTAGTGAGTCCATATAAAAAAGAAATTGTACGTTCGACACATCACTATATACGTGTGAGGCTTTAGTGATTCAGTTCTTGCTTGGATGATAAACAGATCTCTGTGTGTTTTAAAGTTCCTGCCATTTTTCCCCCATAGGTTAAGATGGCCCAAAAAAAGGAGATGACTCTCTCATTTTTTTTCACCCCATTTCAGTAAGTAGACCTCAGTTTGTGTTGTTTGATGACCTCTATCTGATTGTCACTTTGAGGACTGACAATGACAATTGACACTGATGGGCTTTACCAGTACGTACCAATAGTTTGTTTAATATTATCTGTCTCAAGTGTTTTTTGTTATTTAAGTGTTGGTTTATGTTTTTCATCAAGTGTTATTAAATAAATGTTATTCATTTAGTACTTAAACAGTCACGTCGATTGAGAATAAATTCTCCTGTACAGTGGTGACCTGGAGGCTGATTTATACGGGCTGGTATTTCACTGTAACAATATGAGTGCAATGTCTTTCTCAAGAGTACGACAACTATATCTCGCTTGGGATTCGAGCCCAAAACATCTGGTCTGGAGTCCACAGCCAGTTTATTTGAGTAGTGCTTAAAAGTGTTTACAGGCAAAACTGTAAAACGGTGGTAGTGAAAACAGTAATTTTGAAGCTACACACATCACTAATGTGGGGTTGCACTAAGCTTTAAGGAGCACAAAGCTCTCGGGCTGGAGACGTGAATAGGCTTTGGAGACGGAGTCTGGGAGAGAAGGGTTGTCACACAGTGGCCCCACACAGCCTAGACGGGTGGCTGAGACCCTCCCTCTCAGAAGATACATGTGACCTCTCCTGCAGTTCGCTGAGGGAATCGGAACAGGAGGTCTTCACACGCAATGTGACGTCACTCATCCAGCAGCAGCGCTACGATGAAGCTGTAAGTTCTGTGACGGGATTCCTTTGGCTCGTGTGTCGGTTCACTCACATCGCGTTTACCGCTCGCAAACACACTGGTCCTCAAGGCCCGCTGTCCGGCCAGATTTACAGCTCTCCGGCTCTCTAAATCTCCGGCTTCTCAAGAACAAGGAGAATCTTGAACTTGTCCAGTTAAGCAATGAATTAGTTCAGTTAGCAAATTAACTGCTCAGGTGGAAAGAAACACAGAAACCATCTGTTCTCCAGGAATGGAGCTGTGCCTTCCTGCTGTAATGCAAACTAATCTAACTATTTGACCCTGTCTGTTGCTGAAGAAGCGCAAGTGAAGGTCAGAAATGTAGCCTACCAGCCACAAGCATTCAAGTTGCAGAGTCAAAATTCCAGCCGACGGAGTAATTTCGCAACACTGTTCTCGAACCCCTTTTTGCTACTTCCTCTTTCAGATCAGCCTTTGCCATGCTCTGATCCGGCTGGCGTTGGAGGGGCTTGCCTACTACCACACGTACGACCGGCTCTTCCTAGGAAGCAGTGTGGTGCTCGGCTTTGTTGGCTGGACCTCCTACGTCGTCCTCGTGGTCCTGAAAACCCACACCAGTCTCCGCAAGCCACCCGCGGGCAGAGAGGAGGTGAGGGACTGGGCCAGAGGCTGCAGTCTCGGGGATGTGCGGCCGTGCAGCCATGTGCTCCTGCTGCCACGCTGTCCATCAGCCTTGCTGAAGTGAAGAGCGCTGTGGGCAAACTGGTGTGAATAGCGTTTCACAACACGCTGAGGTGCTCAAAGTGTGTGCACTGGATTCAAAGTTTCATTTTCCATGTGCATGATGCCTCTCGCAAGGCTATGGGTTTTCCTCAGAGCGTAACGTTTAGAGAAACGCCTTGTGTTAAGGCCGCCATTCAGACACGCAAAGTATTGTGCAGAGGTGCTTTTGTAATGTGGGAATGCATGGAGCTCCAGGCTGCTGCATCAGTTCAGTCCTGAAGTGGGAATCTGGCCGTGCAGTTCCAGATGTGCAGATTCTTTCCACAGAACAAACCATCCTGTTCCGGCCATGAGCAATTTAAAACCATTTGCACTCCCGGCCCCCGCATTACAGAGGATCCTTCTGCAGTTAGATCGCATCAGTAAGATACCATAATGAATAAGACGGGCTCAGCAAGATTTGTCTCATTCCCTGATGAGCTTTCCTCTGAATCTGTGACGAGGGTTTTGGGGAGGCCATCTTCATGTAATTCTACGTCTGTCTCCTAGATATCAAGCAGTTCTCTTGGCAAGGCTTTTGTCGGCATTGCTCTGCTGATAACCGTGTTCCTGCTGATCCAAGCTAGTCCCTGGACCTACTACGCTTACAGCCTGCTCCCTGTACCTGTCTGGTATGCCGTGTGTAAAGAGTGAGTAAACCAATATTATTCTCTCCCCAGGGTAAAAGGGCTACCATCTACTGCAAGGCTCAGTGTCCCCAAAATTATCCAGTCTGTGATACGCAGTCACGTGTCTCTGTTTTAATTTTCCGGTTGCCATGAAGAAGTTTGCTGCATTTTTATATTGCAGTGTAAGGATGTCCTACTGTGGAGAACAGGTGGCAGGCAGCAACACTGAGTCTTCTGTATCATATACTGGATTCAGCCACACATGTTTTGCATATTTATTACAGTACTCCGTCAGTAATAAATGGCAGTAATGTGCTGTATTTATGACTGTACATTACTGTCACCATGTACTGTTCTGTAATATACTGTGCGCATTGTGTGGTATTGTGCACGTCCTGAGAGAACAGTGTGAATATAAATCCCAATGTACAGTATACTGTATGTACCTATGGCAAATAAACTCCTCTCTCTCCATTTTTATGGGTTACTGTGATGTGACCTCACAATTTGAAATCTAAGGCACTGATGGCCTAGAATGCTCTATGAAGAAGCGCACATTCAGTGGAATGAAATTCAAAATAGTGTAATCATAGTAATATGTTTGAGCACATCCATGCAAATGAGGGTATTGTGTTGCTGATAGAGATGTAATACGTAATTCATCTTTCTTTCAGCTCATTAATTCATTATTCCCTGAAGGCTTCTTTTAAACATTTCAACACTGTCTTTACCAACATGCTTTAATTAATAGGAAGTTATCTTTTTTGGATGTACAGCTACTTAGGGTGCTGTTGTATCTTCTCTCCTGACTGCTTCCAAGTCAAATTGAGTTACAAAATATTGGTGTTGTCATGTTTGGCACTGAACCCCTGACACACACAGAGTGGGACCGGGGTCAAATCTGACTGGCAGAACAGTCTTGTTTTCTAGGATGCATTTTTAAGCAAAGTCTTGTTCCCTTCAAATGAAAAGCAATGACATGGCTACAAGTTTGCTGGATTTTAACACATTTTGTTCCCTTTCAGATACAGAACATTTACCAGTCTTCTCGGGTCCGTGTCTGATTATCCTTTAAAACAGTGTGCTGGATTTGTGCTGGTGGCAGTCCTTGGTGTGGAGTTACTGGTAAGTAATTAATTCAGTTCAATTTAAAATACTTTATTCATCCCTGGGGGCAATTTTAAGTTTTAATTTAATGTTCCTGAGGTTCATAATATGAATTGAGTACAACTTTGTTAGGGTTCACCTGTAAGACTTGTATTCATTATTTATGAATGACTCACTAGAATGTAAGAATGAGAGACAAGTCCTGCATAAAGGCTGGAGAATCCTTATTACCTCTTGTTACTAATGCGTAACTATTACAAGCTCTACATGATTCATGAATAAGGCACATTAGCCATGTGTACGCCTGTGAGACGACTGCTTTGTGAGGTTTTAGGTTTATGTTTGCGTCTTGAATATACTTTGAGAATACTGGAGACCATCACAGCTGAAGCTCTGTCCTTCTAGTCTGTGATGAGGGACTTTGCTCCTGATTTCACACTGTGCCTTAGTGAAGGGAACCCCTCTCAGTGGGTTATGGCTCACTTTCTACAAGAGCCCCTAGGTCTCTGCGCCTGTCAGAAACCCACACTGAATGTGTGAAAGTGTGTGCTTTTGTGTGACGCTGTGTTCCAAGATCATACTCTTTCATGTTGGTTTTGAGTGTTGACTCTTTACTGCTTTTCTCACTGTGTTTAGACTGAGGTCTAAAACAGAGTTATTGTCTGCCTGATGTTACATGGCTTTATAATGGGCCTTAATGTTACAGATACAGCCTTCTAAACGCAGGATATCTGTACAGGCACAATGGCCGGAATCAGACTAATTAAGACACTTGCTGTGGAAAAACAGGCCCCTAGAATGCACAGGTTTCAGAATAGACACTACTCCACATTGCAATGAGCAGTTCAGTATATATTAAAGATCGGATTTTTCCACTTCTATGCCTGTATTAGGTATTTCTGATCAATATGTTTCAATTGCAGGTTATGACTTTTTTCTATCGCGCCGTGTTAACTGTTGGACTCGTTGCCCTAGCTGGCTGGCCTGTCATGTCGACACTGTGCAGACGAGCTAAGGTAGGCTCAATCCAGCCATTTTTCATTTTGTCCAGACAGAGTCTGTCTCCGGCTTTCTGATCCGTGATTTTTCACAGCACAGAATAAGATGCATCTGGAATTTCATAAAACATCACCAAGAGAATCAGTAAAAATGCAAATGATATGAAGTGCAACAAAGCATAATGCAGTAAATGCTACACCTTTTGAAACAAACTAATCTGAACCTCACAGATACTGTCTGTTGTTTACCAGCCGTATATCTGTGAATGCCCCGAGCCGTTTGCAGCATTTCTTTTCTTTTGGTTTGGTTTCTCTTCACAAAAAGGAATCTGGAGGAGTGAGAAACGATGCTGAACCTCTGGATGGGATGGTGAAAGTCTCAGGGAGGACCTGTCCCCCTGTGTGCGGGGTGTGGGTCTGACGCTCCTGCTGCGTGTGTTTTGCAGGCAGAGTCAGCGCGCTGGATCCTCGGGTGTGTGTTTCTGGCCACCTTCCCCCTCATGCCTGTCGTGGGCCGCGAGCCCAGCACCAGCCTGGTGTAAGCCCCGCCGCCGTCTCCCACACCACCCCGCAGCATGCCCGCCGCATGCTGAAGCTTCTACTGCTTTTATATATATATACACTACACCCTCAGTGGCAAAAATGACCATTATTTATTTTAACCACTTGTTAAGATGGTGCTGGAAACATGCAGTTATGGTATGTAGTATAGTAGGCTTCATGTTCTCCATTGCCGCTGGTTTTCAGTTTGTTGCACAGTGGAGCCCCTCAGGTGAGCAAGCTTGTCAACAGCTGCAGTGCAGTCATCCTGCTACAGGGCCTGGGGTTCTTATAAACATTTACGTGGATCCACATTTTCTACGGATCTGGACTCATGTCGATAGTGATGCTGAAACTGGATATGCAGAGTGCAATTTAAGCTGATGTGATAACACAGGCACCTAAGTTTTCTGTTTTCCAATCTCGGCGGGTCCTTGCAGGATCTGTGCTGCTGCCTTGACTCTGGTCATCTCGGCGCTGTTCCTGTGGAAGTCCAGGAGTGCAGCACCTCAGCACTGGAAAGACTCTTCTCTTTACGTCCTGCAGGTCAGGCCAGCTCTGCTTGCGTTGTCATGTGCAGCCTGCGCTGATTCGCAGAAGCTTTTCCTTTGCTTGCCCTGGACACACTGGACAAGAGCAGTAATCTGCAAACCTGCAAATTCAAATTGTAAATTAATACGTTTCTTTAAACAAAATTAAGATATTACTAACAAATAAGAAGACAATCATTAATTAAATGTATTTATTCAATCAGTTCTTTCCTTCCTCACTTTTCACTTTCGTGTTCATGTATTTAAAATAAAAGGACAGCATAACATTTGACAGTGCATTTGATCTGTTAAAGAAACCACGCTGTTGTTGAAATGTGCTTTAGGTCTTCCAGTTTAACCAAAGGGGCTATGAATTCATACCAATGTGACACGAATGTTAAACTAAAGTATCTTGTTCACTTTTTTTAGATGTTTCATGTGGTTTTATGTGCTGGTGTGCTTAACAGCACCCATTCCAGTCTACATCAGAAGCAAGGGTTACCCGTCTTCAATCAGCTTGTCAGCTGGGCGACACTAGGTATGAGCTGACCTGTTCGTGAATCCTTCCTCTTAAACTACATCGATGCGTGTTGGGGGTCAGGGCTGTCATCCGAAACCTTTCCTGTGTTTCTCTCCCTCTCTGTCACCCCATCTCTCCATGGCAAGGGGGTGTTTTTAGTCTGTTGTTTTTTTTTTCAAAACTTAAAAAAAGAGGTTAGCAAAATGACAAAATGCCATTAATCTCCTGGGTCACAAACCTGGGAAGAGCTGTGGTAATGTGATGTGTGTATATAGAGGCGCCGATAAAACCGGTATGCCCTTTTCGAACATCTTGGAAATCGAAACCCGCGCAGTGGATGGCACTGAGTACAAACAGAAAGGGGACTGGGGAGAAGACGTTTCACCGGGGGTGTCGTACCAGCTCGGCGTGCTCGAGCTCCCCTTCTGGGTCAGCAGCTGCTGTTGTGGCTCATGAGCATGTGGACCCCATGCTATCACACCTGCCCAAGCTGTGTGAGCACCGTGTGTTTTGTGCTAGTAGTGTACTGTATCTGAAGGGATGGGCGAAGGTTTATTCCATGCTGGAAAGAAAAGAGACAACACCTGAAGAAGGCTCCACAGCGGAAGTGTTGCGTCTCTTTTCTCTTCAGCCTGGAATTAACCTATCGTTCCTTTGCAGCCTATGCATGCTGACGCAGCTCCCTGCTTGAACTTCATGTGCTGTTTCTCCCCTGTCTCCGCCCTGTGTTTCAGCTTCCTCTTTCATCGTCCCCCTGATGAGCTCCACCCGCCTCTTCCAGCGGCTCCTGAGCCTGTTCCTCTCCCTGGAGTCCACCTACCTCCTGCTCAGCACAGGGTAACCCCGTCTGTCTGCTAGTAATCCCGCCCTGCAGGGGGCACTGTGCCACCACAGGCACGGCCGTCCCCACTAGCTCCTTTCAGTGCAACAAGGGGGCACTTTCTACACTTTATAAGACTGATGACGCAGAAATTGAAACAGTATATTTGTGCCTTTTCTAATTCCACAAAGGCTTTGGTTACGTTCTATCAGCCATTTTTGCTCTTGTGTAGCGCCTTGCAGTCCAGGGCATTCTCGAGACACCTTACCTAAAGTAAAGTTTTGAAAATATCATTTGTGTAAAAACTGTTCTGCAGGTCAGTCGTGTCAATTCACAGCCAGCTCAGGGTACCAGAGCTGAACACAGAGATGATTCCCTTTGTGTTCCAAGTCTTACACCTGCTGTAGACACTACTGCCTCCTGCAGTTTCTCTCCTGTAACTCTTGTCACAGGTATGAGGCTCTCTTCCCCCTGGTGCTGTCCTGGCTGATGTTTGTTTGGATTAACATTGAGCAGGAGACCATAAAGATTCAAGGACCGTCTAGCAAACTAAAGGTAACTGTGCTTCACACACTGACAGAATCTCTTCCTGTTTCTCTCTTTCTCCGTCGCAATATGGAGTGCATTTCAAATCCTAGAAAAAGTTCACATGAAAAACCGCAAGATGGTTTTGTGTATCTCGGCCCTGTTCGTTTTGATCAGCTTCTGTGCGGTGGAGTGAGAGGCTCTGGCTCTGACAGGGATCTGGCATGCAGAGGAAATCACTGCTCTTGAAAGATTTCCTAACATGACTAAAGGTGATCATGGATATTTTTATTCCAGTGGTTATTAAATCATCGTAAAAGGAAGATGAGGCTTTCTGCTGCAATACAGAGCACAGTCTGGACAAGGAGGTTTTTGCAGTGCTCTCGGGCTCATCTTCATGGATTTTTCATTTCTGTTTTTTCAGCTTTCTGGCATTGATTTTTCTGAGAACATCGACATATCGAAGATCAGGCAGTTGAGGCTTGACGACATAAGAAGATCATATTTCTTTGTATCCTTCTCTCAACAGGTTCATTCTTGCTCTATCCAAATGAACCAGTAGGTGGCGGTGTTTAGAAACTGTAGTATCTGAAAGCTGCTTTTCAAGTTCAAGCTTATTGTCATTATACTCATATGCAGGTATATGGTATAACGAAATGCTATTTAACTAGCTCTCAGATGATAAGTAGTACAGAAAAACAACAATACAATTGTATAATAAAAGAAAGACAGAGACAACAGGCGATGTGCAAAACAACTTCAGATGTGCAAAAAACATGCATCAACAGAATTAAATAAAAGGACAGAAAATTATGGGGAGTGAGCTTTTTGACATGTAATTAAAAATGTCTCGGACTGTATGCCAAAAAAAATTACATGAATGCATGGGTCCGGTTATTGAGTTGATTGTTCTGGGTTTCCAGATCACCAGCGTACATGAGAAAATCCATTTGACTTACCTGGTTAATTGCACAACTGCAAAAACAATGACCTGCAGTGTCAGAATGGTGAAGGTCACAGGGGATAGGAATGTTTTATATTGCTTTTGAGCCCCTCGTTTCTCTTTGTGAAAGGAAAGCGAAATGAAGAGAGTTTGTTTCATGTCATACCCTCGGGACGCGGTGTGGCGTATTAACGTGTGCCGTATTAACGTGTGCCGTGAAGGTCCAGATGAGGCGAGAAGTCCGTCTGGTTCTCCGTGCAGGCTCTTGCGGCGGCGAAGCGCACGGCTACACCCTTCCAGCCGCGGCTGCTTGGCTGGCTTGTGTTACGCCACCGTTTTCCTCAGCAGTGCGTCCAGGTCTTCTTCATCATCACCGCCTTCTTCGGGACGGGGAACATAGCCTCCATCAACAGGTAAAGCTGGGATTGAGGCGGCATGTGCTGTGGCACACCGTCTCCTTGTGTAGGTGAAAACGTACAGTAAATGGCACCTCCCTGCACCACAGATCATGGAACCACCTGGCTCTGCGGGCATTCGCATTGTGTTGGGAAACTTACGTAGCTCTGTTCAATTTTGTCTGAAGCCCATTCCCTGCCGGAAAGCCGCTTATTCCTGGTGGGGCTTGCAGACTCCCAGCATCCAGCTTTGGAGACGCCGGTGAGCCTAGATAACGTACAAAATACAGTAGCTGCCAGTAAGATAAGATCACTCTTTTAGCCATATCCAATTTCTTGTATTAGGAATTTGTCTTTCCACATACCCCAACTCCCTCTCCATGAGAGACTGACAGAGAGAGAAGCTGGGGGTCAGAGAGCAGGGTCAGCCATTTATACGGCACCCCTGGAGCAGTTGGGGTTAAGGGCCTTGCTCAGGGGCCCAATGGAGTAGGATTCTTCTGCCGGCCGCGGGATATGAACCGGCAGCCTTCCCGCTGGGTCCGCGTCCCGCTCGGCTACCTGCCTTGTCTCGGGTGGAAATGAACACGGATCCGGAGACTTGCCTGCCCCTGGAGTCGTTTTGCTAGTTCTCCCATGTGTGCGCTCTTGAACGAAAGGAGAAATGCATTGCGCTGAATACCACCACTGAAATAGCTATTGTAGGCGTGCTTGACAAATATTTAATGAGCCTATACCATCGTCTTATTTACTGTTATTTACTGCTTTCATACATTTAAAATCTCGATCTACCTTAAGACTTTAGTAAGGGGCTTTTACAAGGGCTATAGGGTAAAATGTGACTTTACACGAATTGGATGTTACATTCACTCCTTATAACTCCTTATTCATAACAAAAAACAAACATTACATTATTTCATGGAACAAGTAAAGTTTTATTCCATGCTGAAAAGAGAAGAAAATAAACATTATAGCTGTGGAGCATTCTTCGGGTGTGGACACTCGCTGTAAAGGTTTATTTTTCCACAGCCGAAACGTTGTGTTTCTTTTCTTCTCTTTTCAGCAGGGAATAAACCTTAACTTGTTTCTTTTGCAGCTAACGCAGCTCCCTACTTTAACTACATTATTTTATAACACTGTATGCTGTGCTTTCAACACTCGGTTAATATATGAATCGGAAATCATGCTTTTACGCCTTACCTCTGCTGCGAACTGGCGCACAAGAAAGAAGAAAGGAAGAAAGACGCCGAACGCTACCATTACATCACCGGCACACCAAAAATAAGAAAAATAAAAATTACAAACGGGAGAAAAAAATACTCCAAAACATTCTTAGTCAGTTTTAAACACGACATGAATGGAAATTAAAAACAGAGGAGTTACAGTACTCGGGCGTAAAACTGGGGAGCGGGGTACTGGAATCATTTGTTTTGCGAGACTATACCGCCTATATTTAGAATTATTCAAGCGACATGATTGTTTTGTTTTTTTTTCCCCCACGCAGCTTTGACCCTGCTTCCGTCTACTGCTTTCTGACCGTGTTCAACCCCTTTGTCATGGGAGCCTTGATGATGTGGAAGGTACCAGCTCTTATTCTGCCGTGTTTTAAGTGCAGCTTAGGCACCCCGTGAGAGACTAAAGAAAGAATCGGGGGACTTCACGGGTGTGCTGGACACACTCCCTCCTAAAGTGGCCTTACGTTTTCGAGCTGTTCTGTTTGTAGTGTATAGTAGTATAAATACATTATTCATCTTTTTATTCGGTGGCTATTTCGTTCTGTAAAGTGCTTTGAGAAGCTGCAAAAAATAAAGTAAAATAAAGTTTTTTTATTGTATTAATGTGCACCCATACTCGTGTATGCAAGGAGATAGGTGTTCCCTTCTGATAAAGTAATAGATTGTTAACAAATGTCATCAAAGCAATTGCTCGGTAACCGCGCAAAACAGTCAGGTTTGGCATTCCGTTCCTTTCTGCCAGAGCCTCAGTTTGTGAATGTGCCACTATTATGTGTCCTCGTTTGCTAGTCTAGCTGCTATGTGATTGGCTGCAGTCAGACCACTCAGAGCTGTAGACCCACACTGTCTGCACCCCAGCAAAAAATAACCTGAAAGTTTACCGTTACATTTCTAGCCCTTTGTAGGTCACATTAGAAAAATCTATTTTTGTCATTTGTTTTGCACCAGAGTTCTGTCGTTTGTGTCAGCCAGGCTCGTTAGATTTGCATAAAAATATTTCAAAATGTCCGATGCACAGGTGGGAGATACGCGTTGAACCCTTGAGTCGCTCGACGTGCTTCACCCTGGTAGCTTCAGTAAAGTGCTTCGCAGTACAACAGTAGGAACAAAGCTGCTTCGTACTAGAGCATCACACAAATACATTCACATCCCTTTTAAAAAAAGTAATTTAATTTTATGGTGTGTTTTCTAATGCATCTCTTGACAAAAATTCAACCTATGAAAATCGGAAGATAATTTCCCAGGCCCTGGGAAACGGATTGGAGAATCAGCTTACTGATGTTTGTCCTTGTTTCCTTCACAGATATTGATTCCTTTTGTCATCGTGATGTGTGCATTTGAAACCATTCAAGTGTCCACACAGCTTTCTTCGAAAAGGTATCCTGCAAAATTGTCATGCTATTGATCTGTTGCCAATAATGCATTTACTTTATTTGTTTGTTTAATATGTTCAAAGAGTAGACTGCTATACACAGTGGGTGGGTTCCGGACACAGGGCATGTGCAGTGTCCTGTTGATAGGTGTGCTCTCAGGTGACATGTAAGTGCTGTAGTGGGATCTTCGGCCCAGTGTCTGTCAGCCAGCTGTTGCACAGCTGTGTGAAACGGCCTGATTGAAGAAGGGAGTGGACACGTCCCTGCGGCAAGCAGTCGCCTGCCCCCAGCAGAGCCTGTACTTTCTAATTAACTTGGCACGGGACTTGGAACTGGACGATAAATGTTGCTCTACAGTCTGGTATATGCGATGGCCCTTATTTATTATTGCATCTTTCAAATTTGTGTGGGGAGAAGGGTTTTCGTTTTCGTGTTAGAAACGTTGCAGGGATGTTTTCTTGTTACTACCTTGTGAATCCAAGTATCCAGTAACACCTTTGGGCATGAAGGGAATTTATTTAGATGTTAAATGTCCCACCCTCTTACACATCTTGTTTTTCCCTGATCGCCAGCAGGTTGGATTTACTGGATATTGCTCTGTTGTGAAGACACTGAAATGACACTTCGGATAGTTCCTTTTATTGATGGGTTTATTTCTGCTTTATTTTTCAGCCTGTTTCTTATTGTCCTTGTTATCTCAGACATAATGGCACTGGTAAGTTGCAGGTATTGTGAAAGATGATAATAATAATTTTGATACATTTTTATACAAATACAGTATACCAATACATTCTGGATTATGCCACGTCAGCATCATTGAGTGTGAAACAAACTGCCTCAAAAAACAGAACACAAGAAAACTCTTATTTGCAAACAGTAAAATAAGTACGCAGCCGTGGTATTAAAATTGGTACCCTGGTTTCTTTCAAGAAATGGCGGGATGAGATCCTGTAATCAGTTAGCTGCTAATTGAAGTAGACTGAATTGCCTCTGCTCATTTGTAACTATTCTGTTCCTACAAACAGTGACTGAGTAAGTGAAGGTGGATTACATGTGTAATTAGGCCTACTAACAATGCAAAGACTCAGTCGAGTGGATTCATGTTTTGCAAACAATGTATTTTGAAAACAAACACCACAGGATGTAACTTATTTACGGTACTCAACTGGGAAACTGTGTGTAAAAAGAAAACGCTTTAAGGGAGAGAGCCTGAGGCAGCACTGTAGTATCTTTCTGAAAACTGAAAGAGCTCCTCATTGTCGGTGAAAACACTGCGCATCGGTCCTGCTGTGATTGAAGTGCACAGGACAGTACCTCCTTTTGCACACATGCAGCATGAGGTTTCTCTTCCGGTGTTGATATGTGAGCGGAAAAAGATGGTCTGTTTCACGGTGTAAAGTTAAATAATTCTGTTTAAACACAGCAGGAGCTGCAGATTCTTAACCAGGCTACAATGAGATAAGGGTACAAGTTTTCAGGTGAACAAGAGAAGGTTTATTCCCTGCTGAAAGGAGAAGAAAAGAGACCTTTCAGCCGTGGAGCCTTCTTCAGCTGTGAGAAAGGGGGAGGGGGGATCCTCGATTAATTTGCAGGTTTCGACTTCATCTCTCGACTTTACCCGAGTGCCCACTCTGCCTCTCCCTGCTCCCGCTTCCTCTATCCTCCCAGCGGTTGTTCTCCTATATGTTATGCTATATAAGCTGCTGACCTCCCTGTCTTGCTCACACCCGAAGAAGACTCAGCTGAAATGTTGCGTTTTCTCTCCTCTCTTTTCAGCATAGGATAAACCTTTACTCGTTCCTTTGCAGCCTAAGCATGCTGACTCAGCCCCCCACCTGAACTAATTTTTCAGATGTTGTAGGAAAATCTTAAAGCAACCCTGACTCTGAAATTAAATCAATGGAATTGTTTCTTGAAGACAAAGAGAACCAAAAATGGTATAATGGACCAGTGACAAGTCATTTTGAAAACCATAGCAAAAGATTGTACTGAAATACAAGCAGATTTAATTAAATTTCTGGCCATTTCTTTCACAGCACTTTTTTTTCCTGGTTAAAGATTATGGAAGTTGGCTAGATATTGGTACCAGGTAAGCAAATTGTTTATTTTCAGAATAATGTAATGTTTTACAGTTCATTAACTTTACAGGATATAGACTCATTTTCAGTAATCTTAACAGCAGGCTATGCTTTCCTGACAATTGGGTTAATCATTTGTGATACCGTGTGTCTATCTAGGACATAACCACCTAAACAGGAAAGTACAACTGAAATTGAATTAACCCAGAGCTGTTGATTGTTAAAATCGTTGAGTTTACTGGATTTGGTAGTCCTTCAAATAAACTTTGTGCCATGCAAGGGAAAAACAGTGAAAAATAATTATACTCTCCAGACTTCTAGTGAGTCACCCCAATGCCAGGGCTGCCCTGAAATGCAGATGTCACAGCCTTAATGGTAGCTGCTGTGTCAAGTCTGGGCTGCAGAAAATAGATCTTAATTTTTTTTTAATGAATCCATTAGTTGAAAAAAAATCTGATGTTTTGGAACTAACTTTTGCTTTTAAATAAAAAGTAAAGCACTGTATACTGTGTAAACAGTCATAGTCCCTTGAAAAAGTTCCTATTATTGCTATGATTTTCTGCATATTTGCACTTTTGTCACAGTGAATTTGGCCAGGTCTTCTTGTGGATTGTAGCAGTAAATACAGGAGATTCTGAGAGGAAAAAAAAAAGTTTTTGCCCCGTTTGTGATCTCAACCTATTTAAAGGGATAATTCAGGTCAGCTAACAATCAGACCTCATCAAGGCCAGCCCTGCCCAGTATAAATCTGACTAACTTTGGCACAGAGGTACATCATGCTGCGATCAAAAGAGCTTTCTGAACACCTGTGTCCAGAGCTCAGGAAGGCAGTGCCTTTCATAGCTGTGTGGATGTGTGCCTTCTTTCCTCCCTCACAAACACCAGGGCCACAGCGGTTAACCTGGGGTAGAATAACAATTTGTAAGGGTCTTGTTTAAAATAAATTTAAACGCGCTGAATAACGTCGGCATTTGCACATTTCAAGAGTGCTGAACAATGCAGTTTCCTACATTTAAAGAAACTAATGGCTTCTTTTCCTGTTGCAGTATCAGTCATTATGTCATTGTGATGTCCATGACTATCTTCTTGCTGGTCCTGAGTGTCCTGGCCCAAGTCCTGACTTCGAAGAGAATTTATCTGGATAGAAGAATGAAGCTACACTTCACATGAGGGATCTGTGAGATTGCTGAGGACGCACAGCAGAAACGTGGCTCGTAAGGAGGACATCTCTCTAGAGTCTAAACAATCCTGCAGTGGATTCTTGTGATTTTACATGTAATCTCATTGTAGTGCTGTATCCCATTAACACTGCAGTCATTGGTGTGCTCCTGTATCTTTTAGCTTAGAAATGTTGAATCTGGGTGACGTGGGTTGGGGCTGTATTGCTCATTTCCCTTAACAAATATCCTATAGTCCCTTATACATTCATGAGTACGCCGCTTCAGTGTTAGAATAAGAGCTGGCATTTCCTTCACTTACAAGGCAGGGAATTGGCTGGCTGGGTGCCTTTTCTATCACATTAATTGAAACTGAAATGTTTACTTATTAAACCAATGAAGTTTAACTTCCTTTACTAATACACAGAATACTATGTGCTACCCATGGTTACAGAATGTACTGTAATGTTTCTTATCTTTTTAGTACCATCAAACAGGGCTGCAGGGCCAGTGACCAGCGACCAGCAGTGTGTTTAGTGTTTTATCTCCCAATCTTCATTTGGGGTGGGAAGTACTTCTTAATGTCACAAATGTCACAAATGAGAGCAAAACATCTGCAGGGGACAGAACTGTAAAATGATTGTTTTGGGAAATATTTTCTCATTACATTTAATTTTCCCACTGTCCAAAGTTATCCCAAGAGCAGGGAGGGCGTTTTCAGGTTCTGGTTTACAGTATTTACTCAGGGAAAAGAACAGAACAAGACCGTTGGTCTGAGCAGGGAGAAATGGACAGTTCCATCACCAGCACTGTCCTTCTGTACACTGCTGACTGCTTAAAGTTTCCATTATTTAAAATCTGTATTTATTGTGAATTCTGTACATTACCATTAGCTGTCCCCTTGGTACAGTAGCATTAGAGATCAGGGTAGGGACTGAGGAGTGACGCACTGTAGTGGTTCAGTGAAGAAACCCACCTGCTGTGAATGCAGGTGACACATATTGGATTAGCTGTTCAGAAGAGCTATCTAAAGGGATTTTGGCTTTCAGAAACATGGATATTTATTTGCCTGTGGCACCAAATTATTTATGTATGTTGTCATTTTTCTGTAGAGGTACTAAAATGAAAAATGTTCAAGGAAGTGTGTACCTTAGTTTCACAAACTGAGCATCAAAAGAAACTTGAGACTTAAAACTGCAACAAATTCACAATTTATCAAAAAAGAACTCAAACACACACACCTAAAGAGAAGAATCTGCAGGTGAAAAACATTTTCTCCTTTCAGTTTTTCATTATGAAATCAGCCTTTACTTGCTCTTCCACACAGAGAAATGCTTCTTTTTTATTTTTAACTTATTTATTGATTAAATGGTTTTAAAGTAAAATATACATAGAATGTTTAGCTTTTTCTTTTATCTCTGCTTTTAGTTTATAATTGCATGTTTTTAGAACTTTTACATTGTGGGGTTTTATACAGAAATACAGTATATTAACTTTGTCAAATCTTTATTACAGAAAAACAATCTAGACTGAAATATTTTATTTCAGAAAGTGAAATCAGGATTTAACGTATACATACATTTTATCCAGGTTAACCAATATTTGCAAAATCTTCCTAAGGTAATGTTTCTTTTGATGCTGAGGATATTTGGACTATACCAGTTGTGGATACATATCTGCGCAATAATTTACTTCTTTCACCTGTCTTTAATTTTTAAAAATGTTTTAACAGTTGTTTAATTTTTTACATGGGCATGCATGAAAAGCAAATTAAAGTGGAACTTGAAACCTAAATTCTTTCTTAGTATTTTTACCTTAAAGCGAAGATTTTACTGGATCTCGACTATTAATTCTCACCCAGTTTTGTCACACAGAATACAGAATTGTTTTTCGTTTAAGTGACCCAAGTGTGCTGGCCATTCAAGGCCTCTAATGATATTTTTCTGAAGAAGCTCCTCCAGTGTGTTAGGCGTGTGTTGTTCTGTTCCTGAAATATCTAGGAACATTCCTGTCACGTGAGCTTGCTCTTCAGGACAGAGGTTAGGCCATCTGAGCACCGGAGTTCATGTTGTGAATGTGCTGCCCGTCAGTAAACGGGACCAGAGCACACAGTGAATGGGGCGAACTTGCAAGCGCCGCAGAGGGTTTCCTGTCCCAGAACTGAACCCAGGCGTTGAGTGGGAGGTGGCAGCAGTCCAAGCTACAGTGCCACACTCGTGAATACCACTCGCCTTAGAACCGGCCACATGCCATGCTTTCGACCACCGAGGAAGTGAGCTCGTTTAATTGACCTGATTGTCTACTGGGTACATTTGGTGGCAGTTTCTTTCTGTACAGGGATGATATTTGAACATAGAGTGCTTACCAAATCATGTGGTGCTGACGCTCACTTTGCTCACGTCTTTAGATACATAGTTTTAATAAGGATGAGGTGACCTGCAAAGCACTGCGGAAATAATAATACTTAATAACAATAATTGCTTACACTTATAGAGTGCTTTTCTGGACACTCCACTCAAAGCGCTGTACAGGTCATGGGGATCCCCTCCACCACCACCAGTGTGCAGCCCCACCGGGATGATGCTCCATTCCGCTCCCCACACACCAGCTCTCAGTGGGGAGGAGAGCAGTGATGAAGTCAGTTCAGAGATGGGATTATTAGGAGGCCATGATTGGTAAGGGCTAGGAGGAAATTTCATTGGGGTGACACCCCTGCTCTTTGAGAAACACCCTGGGATTTTTAATGAGCACAGAGAGGAACTTGATTTTACTTCTCATCAGGAGGACGGCGGCCTTTTACAGTCTAGTGTCCCCGTCACCATACTGGGACATTAGGACTCACATAGACAGACAGCCCCCTACTGGCCCCTTTAACACCACTTCCAGCAGCAGCCTTAGCTTTTCCCAGGAGGTCTCCCATCCAGGTACTAACCAGGCTCACACCTGCTGAGCTCTAGTGGGGGGTTGGTTGTAAGCGGCAGGGTGATAAACCCAAAATTCATTTCACTCCCTCTGCTCTTCTCTGAGCATGCTCCTTTTCTAGCTCAGCCAGTAGGAAGTCCCCTCTCTTCAGCTGTTTTAACCTGTATCCTGCCACCCCGACTACTTGAAGGCAAGTCAGATTGTCTTTTTCTTTTGAAATGGAAAGAAAAGGCTTTCCATTTCAAAAGAAAAAGACTTCAATTGGTGAAGCTACTATATACAGTAGATTTAACAGTCAACAAAACGGCAGGGAGTTTGCTGTACTGGCTCCTGTGTTCTTTTTCCTCTTTCATACCATCCCATTAGAGAATAAGTGACATTTCTATGGTGAGGGAAAGCAGGGCCCCATCCTATTCCCCTTTAGTTATTCAGCTGCCCCTCTCTAGACCTCGCACGCCTGAACAGGGTAGAGATCAGGGTAGGGACTGAGGAGTGACGCACTGTAGTGGTTCAGTGAAGAAACGCACCTGCTGTGAATGCAGGTGAATGCAGGGCCCCATCCTATTCCCCTTTAGTTATTCAGCTGCCCCTCTCTAGACCTAGCACGCCTGAACGCTCACGTCTAACGTCTCCACCCCCGTCCTCCTCCCCCTCTTTCTGCGTCCCAGTTCCCCCTGGATGAGCGAGGCCGCGGCCCCTCCTGGACAGGCCAACACAGTGGGAGTTGCACTCCTCTGCTTCCCAGCTGCTGGAGAAAGTTGGTCTCTCGCTAATTCTCCGGAGGGCGCAGCTCCGGGCTCCCAGATGCCGCCGGACCAGCCGACCCCCAGGGTCTACGATCGTGCTATCCACACTGGGCGTTCTCAGTGCGGCGCTGTCCTCTACTAGCCCTGCCCACTCTTATTTACTGTACATGAATGCAATCAAGAGTACAACCCTGTGACTCTGCAGTGAAGTTTCAATTTTTCTGCAATTGCTCAAGGTGTGCCGAAAGTTCAGTTTTCCTGGAAGTGACACAAGATTCACACCTATAGCGCCTACACAGTCCACTCCTGGTGTGTACGCACTGCGGCTGCTTCAACAATTGCCCACAGTCTGATCTGGCAAATGGTCACTTTTCCCACGATCTAAACCTTTATAACTGCTTCCTGAAAGTCGTTCACTTCCTCTTGCAGAAAAGGCACTTGTGGTAAATGGTCGTTTGCAAATTCTCACCCGATTCTCTGACAGCGCACTCCTTTGGATATCTAAAATCCGTGATCCACCTGTACATTGTGTGGCTCCTTTGGACCATTTTTAAGTATAAATTCACAATTTTACAGTAGTCCTTTTCCTCAGTTATTCAGCTGACCTGCTAGGCAAATGTTGCAGTCAGTTTCTGTCATGTCAGCCAATGTCCATTATGAATTCCAGCCAAGAATATATAGCACCATTATTACTAGCTGTAAATTAAAAACAGTCTCACCACATTATTTTTTTAAATGTGTTGTAGTATTATTTCAGCACATAGAATAAAATGGCAAAATGGTGTTAATTATCATAATTACAGTAATGTGTTTTTTAAATAAAGGATTCGGGAGTCTTATTGGGGCACACCACAGAGAAAAACCTGCAGCATGACACCTCCTCAGTGGAGTGTGGCATAGTGTCCTGCAGGTTCACTAGAAAAGTAGTGCAGCAGCTCACATCTGAGTAACTCAGGTTTTTACTTTCTTGTCCAGACACTCAAGACATAATTCTTAGTTTTAGCTATAAAACAGCCTAGTGCTGCCCAATTCATTGAATTAGAATAAATGGTTTAATGGTTGAAAATATTAACTCTTCATTCTATCTAATAATAAATTATTTTGACAAGAATGGTGTGTACCTAAGCAAAACTAAACAGAGCTTTTGTTTTTCTTTAGTCAGTTCTTTTTTTCTGTAGATTTCTATCTTTTGTCTATGCTGTTTCTTCTGAAACAAAGCTCTTTCTTCAGTTTGAAGGCCCCAATATTGCAACATGAGTGTTTCTCTGACTGGTGAAAAATTGCACACCACTTCCTGTCTCCTGACAAGGACATCCCAATGCTCAGGTTGTACTTCTATATTGCTGAATTTCATTGTGAATGTTTAGAGAAAAATATTCTGTCTATCTCTCTGCCTACCTGTCTCGCTGTCTGTTTTAGCTGATTGATGTGTTAAAGCACTTTTGTTTTTTTTTTTCCCTTTTTTTGCCGTTTTCTCCAACTTCGCACCAGTGCCTCCGCCCCCTCAGACAGGGCATCGACTTCTGCCAGTGCTCACCGTTTGGCTTTTCCCCATCTCCCCACTGTTACGGAACATGTGCTATGATTGTATTCACTTGCATTTTTTATTTTTAAATTTGATGTTACAAAGCTGATCATTTGAAACTGTTGAGACTAGAAAAAGAGAACAAGGAATAGATGCTATTGCAAGGCACTGTCATAATAATGTTTTTAAAGAGTTTCTTTCAGAAAACAACTTAGGAGTAGTTTGGAAGGGTGACAGAAGTGCCAGGTATCAGAATACGTTACTAACTGTAAACTATAAATCAAGAGGAACTTGATTAAAATCAATTCAACACTAAGATAGAACAACAACTTCTAAGATATTAAATTTATCTTCAACAATTTATCTTTAACACTTTAATTCACTTAAGCTATGATGTTCAATGAGCAAAGGCAGTAGCACTTAACAAGAAACAAGGGCAAGTCCCAGGAGGTAATACCCTGTAAAGCAGTGTGCTGTTTCTACAGCTGGAGCTGTAGAAGTCTGTACTAATCCACAATAACACAATGGTAAGGATCTGTTGATTTCAAACTGGTGCTGCTATATCTGCAGTAGTATCTCATGGTTTCTGTGCATTTTGTTTTACGAAATGGAATCTGGGCACTTGGTCAGGTATGTAACATCGATGCAGCCTTCCCAAGAGGTTTAAAAAAATGCATCCCATCAGGCTTGTCACTCCAGCTTGTCACCCCAACAGAGAAGAAGACAAACTCGAGTAAAAGAATTGTGTCCTTTTAATTGGTTATGTTAACATTTTTCTGTAATAGAAATACTAATTTTATTCCAAATTCTCTAAATTTTTCTGATGTTTTTTAAATCTTTAGCCTAATATTTAAAAACCTCTGCCACAAAACACTTTACCTGTATCATTATTCCGTGTCTGACAGACTCGAGGTAGAATTTAGTTTCAAACATAAAAAGCAAACAAACATATGTTCACAAATTGGACATTGAAAACTCATACATTTAAATTAGTGTACCAACTGAGTAGGAACATAGAGATGTTAATACTGTACTGAACTGCAAAATGAAAAGGCACACCAAAGTAGGGTGGAGAGGCTCCACAGCTGAAATGTTCTGCTTGTTCTTTTTCTTTTACTTTTAAGTGAAGCCTCTACTTGTTCCCAGATAAACACACACACACACACACTAGCTGCTTGTTTGTAAGGATATTGAAGGAGACAGAAGAAGAGCTTGGTGTAATTTTACTGGTGTACTTTCATGTGCATAATTCCTGTCTGTGTGTACTGAAGTATGTAAGCAATACTAAGCTGCCTTACTAGATGTCTGGAATGTTCTGCTTTTTTGGTAATGTTCATTAATTAAACATTAACTTTCATCAAACATTTAAAATCACTCATTGACTGTTTAATCTGTTTACAGAGCATGAAACTTCATAGTAACCTTGATCAGCTTTAAATGTTTTGGAACAAGTTTTCCTCCTTCCGTAACAACCTCCACATTTCAAAGTATGCTTCATGACCATATGTAAATAAAATTAATGGATTGTTCCTTTTGTAAAGGGTAGTTTTACCCTACAAAATTAAATAAAATGCAGAATAATACTTAGAACTTTTGAAATAATGTTTTAGATAGTGCCTTCCACAAGCAAAATGGCAAAGCACTTCACAGGACAATGCAGACAGATGCAATATAAACTGACTTAAGATGACACTATTTGGTCAGCAATCCAAACAAACATGAATATGTTAATAAAATCCCACATTTAAAAGTATGCAGTAGAAACAGTTTCACAGTCTGTTATCACCTCAAGAGATCATTCCATTGCCTAGGTGCAAAAATAACCCAAGCCTGGGTTTTCTCTCTTTCTCAGTATTAACCAACAGCCCAATCACATCTTCTCTCCAGACCTACAGATGCAGCCATTCAAAACAAGGGGGCGATACCGCATTATTTTGCAATGCGCTTCTCGCGGTGTAACACAAGTTATCCTATATTCTCCTATAGTACCGCATGATACCACGTTACTGCAAGTAAAATAATAGTATCCAGAATTTCCGCAAGGTGGAGCTTATAAAGCTCAACCTCCCATGTTTGAAACTGTCGCCATCAAAGTCTTTACCGAAGATATTACTAATAGGATTTATAATGAATGACCTTGGACAAGCTGTAAACTCAAAGTATTGCCCTGCTCCACATTTGTTTTTCATTGACCGTCTTTGTAAAAGTAACACCACAGCATTTTGTTGATCCAATCATGCATCTGTTTCCGATCATGCAAAGTACAGTAATTTTTGAGAATCTCTGATTCACCATGCCTTTCACATGCTCATAAAAGATAT